CATGGCAGACGTGACACTTCATCTCATTCTCAAAAAACCAGTCCTGGAGGATGTGAGCTATGTGAACACAGGCATTGTTGGCTTGGTAAATGGCATCACAAAAAAAGTAAATGACAATGTTAAATTTTTTTAAGTGTTAAGTGTGAATATTCATAAAAAAATGTTGGATGTTGTTGAAGACTGTGATTGAAATAACTAATTCATACTTCAGTGTAATGTAAAAAAAAGTATTAAATAGGCCATGAGATGACATAAAAATGAGGTTAAAATAAATTTAAATACAGGTAGGCCTATAATATTATGAAGGTACAGAATTACAGTACTACTTTTAATAAAATTTGTCTTAACCGGGTTTTCGATTAATCGTGATTTCCATCCCCACCATTATCCTGGATAATCGAGAGTTGACTGTATTTGTGTTCTTCAGGAGCTACTGGCAGTTTAGGCAGACGAGGTCTGAGAAAACAGTTTGGTGCAAACAGGGACCGAGATTTACCTGATGAGACTGAACATGCAACAAACTCACCAGGACAATTCCATGGAGATAATGCAGTGAAAGGACCTGTGAATTGTGTTGGTGTATCATGTAGGAGATCATTTTATTAAGTGATTCAGTCATATGAATCAGTGTATCATTGTACCACCCCTCTTACATTCACAAGTACATAATTTCTATATACTGATCAGCATCATCAAATAACCAAAGAAACAAACCATCTTTAAATAATAATCTGTCATTGGTGTGTTCATCTTGTAATTTTTCTTATTTACTGGTATACGTGGTATGTTCAAAAAGTATCAAACCTTTGGTCAGCAGAAATACATTTATTGATTTGGAGGTACAAAACCCTAATCCCCTTCAAAGTAGTCTCCTTGGTAATGCACACACTTTTCCCAGTGCTTCCACCATTGTTGGAAACACTTCTGGAACGCGTCTTTTGGAATGGTGATCAGTCAGGCCATCGCATTCGGCTTGATGTCTTCTCTTTACTCAAATCGGGTTCCTTTCAGCGGCATTTTCAGTTTGGGAAATAGCCAAAAGTCACACAGAGCCATGTCGGGGGAGTAGGGAGCCTAACGAACCACAGGGATGTTGTGTTTGGCGACGAAAGTCTGAATCAGGTGTGCAGAATGGGCAGGTGCATTATCATGATGGAGCTGCCAAGTTCTTGCTGCCCACAGATCTGGTCGTTTGCGCCGCACAGCATCACGAAGGCGACGAAGGGCCTCCTAGTAGTATTCCTTTGTGATGGTTTGGCCTTGTGTGTGTACTCATGATGGACAACACCACAGGAATCGAAGAAAACGGCCGACATGACCTTGACATTTCCGTGGACCTGCCATGCTTTTTTTGGCCTTGGGGATGTCAGATGTTTCCACTGTGACGACTGCATCTTGGTTTCCGGGTCGTACCCATAAACCCACGACTCATCGCCTGTGATTGCGGTGTTCAGAAAGTTGGAGTTACTGTTTGCATTGTCCAGCATGTCCTGTGCAATTTCCAGACGGCGTTGCTTCTGCTCCATTGTTAGCAGTTTTTGTACGAATTTCGCGGACACTCTCCTCATGCCCAAGTCCTCGGTCAAAATTGAATGTACTGATCCAATGCTTACCCCTATCTTGTTCGCAAGTTCTCGGACTGTGATAACGACGGTCCTCCATGACCAAAGTTCACACTTGCTCAATGACATTCTCATTTCAGCTTGTTGAGGATCTGCCTGAATGCGGTTCGCTGTCTGCTGATGTGCGGCCATCTTCGAAGTGTTTGTACCACTCCTTTATCCGTGAGTTGCTCATGGCATCGTCCCCGAAAGCCTGTTGAATCTTGTGAATGGTTTCCATTTGGGTATCGCCAAGCTTTTGGCAAAATTTGATGGAATATCGCTGCTCATGTTGTTCAGTCATTTTACACCTTACTGGAATCCGACGAGCGCTCACTACATGTCCTCACTCATAGGCCGACTGGCTGCGACTGACGCTTTCTGCGGGCGGGAAAAAAATCATGACTGCACATGAATGCCCCCTCCACATCCACCGAAGGGGGCCTCCTGCGCTTCATTGGTTTACGCGGGAAAAAAGAATGTTCGATACTTTTTGAACACACCACGTATGTCTTGCATTCTTTTCATTCTGAAAATATTGTGACATGTTGACCCCCACCTCCCCAGTGGTACGTGGCGGTAACGTAACGCTCGCGTTCTTACGGTAATAGGCGAGTTCCCGCCCCGCCACTCCCCTCCGCGGTGACGTCACCGAGGGATATCGCGGTCGCTAGGCAACGCGAGTCAACAGCGGCGACGTTACGATAGTAACAGCGGTTACTTCCGCTAGCGTTACATAGCAACACAGCGCCAGGCAAAAAGGGTGCCTATTACGTGGCCGTTTTCCCGTACTGTCCGATCGAGGCTACATACGGAGCAGCGAAGGCTATTCACAGTCAGTTCTAGTGTGGCTACCGCAGAGTTGTACTGAGTCAGTCAGCGAGTCCTGGACCTATCGTCGAGTTAGCCAGCAACCAGTCAGTTGTATTGTGGCATTTGGAGTGTACTATTTGTGATACTGCAGATAGCAGTAATCGTCAGATTGTAATTTGGGTGATTGTAAGAGCGAATGTGAAATAAAATTCGCTACATCGAATACATCGAGAATTTATTTGTCGCGATATACGCCCGATACGCGACAGTATCATAATCGGACACTTCTGCCTATCCACGATATTGCACATACCAACCTATCATAAACAATTTTCATGTCATTCACATCTTTTGTTTTTTCTCAAATGTTAATCCATATAGATCAGTGGGTCGCGACCCCCAGGGGGTGGGCGAATGCTTGAAAGTGGGGCGCATCATACTTTCCTACAGATAAAAATTAAAACTGCCATAAATCAATTAGAAAAGTAACAAAAAATAAAAATACATATAGAAAACTTTTGTTGAGTACAGGCTCTAATTATCATGAATTTCAAAATAACTAATAATTATTCTCTTTACCGGCAATAATAAAATGCGTATGCTAGAGACAGCATTGATTGTTTGGCAGCAGCTGCATCCTCTGAAATCCTCGGAAGTCTAAACTTTTTAAAATGCTGTGTGAAGAAATGGGTGCCGAACACACTGCTCTGTTGTTTTTTAATGATGCTCGATGGCTTTCAAGAGGCAAGGTATTAAAGAGAATGTTTAAGCTGAGGCATGAGGTGTTCTGTTTTTTAAATTGGGAAAATCACTCACTGGCAGATAGTATCAGCAACAAGGATTTTTTATTGAAAATGGCTTACCTCACAGATATATTTGACAAACTAAATATCCTCAACACTTCACTTAAAGGGAACGAGGCAACTGTGCTTTCTTGGAATGACAAAGTGAAGGCATTCATGAGAAAATCAGAGCTCTGGAGAAACAGTATGGAAAGTGACACGCTAGACATGTTCCCTACTCTGGTGTCAATGGTACAAGACACTGATAATCCAGTGCTTCCAATGGACATAGAAAGCTGCCTACTATCATCTCATAATATTGAAAGTTCATTTCGAAAAATACTTTTGCAATGATTTTGATAAATTTAATTGGATTAAAAATCCATTCGAAAATGCTCCTGGGCCATCATCTCTGAATGTAAATGAGCAAGAACTACTCATCGATCTCACTATGATACTTCATTAAAAGTAAATTTAAGGAATTGTCTTTGTTGGAGTTCTGGATACATATTGGTAAGGAATTCCCAGCTTTGAGCAAAAGGCATTGAAGATCCTGATTCCTTTCGCAACAACTTACTTATGCGAGACATCCCTTTCTGCTTTGGCAGCTATAAAGTCAAAGTATCGTTCAAGGCTAAATATTGCTAAAGAAGTTAAAGAGTGGCCATTTCTGATATTACACCACGTTTTGATAAACTTTGTTCTCAAAAGCGGGCCCATCCATCACACTGAACTTTGACATTTAAATGTTTGATTTTCTTTGCAGAAAAAAATTAAATACTTGTTAGTTAAATATCATTTCATTTCAGTACATATTTTGGTTAATTGCAAGTGTTAAAACTAATTTCTATTGTAGACATAATATTGTGATACTTTAATTTTGAGTAAAACTACTACTAAATAGTATGTAGAAAAACACAAAATAAACTGAATAAAATGTCAACATACCAAGACTTCTATTTTGATAAAAAAGAAACAGGATGGGGGCCTGAGAGTATTTTCTCTTGTCAAGGGGGGCTCAGAGGTAAAAAGTTTGAGAACCACTGGGTTAACACAATATTTACATGGTGCCACATCCCAGAAGATTGCTTTCTTTATCTTGAAATATTGATGAGCTTGATTAACAATATATAATGAAGGGACATATGCTATTGGAATGAGGATATTTAACCAGCTTCCTATAAATATAAAATCATTATCATGTAAAATTGAATTGTTTAAACCAGCATTAAAGAGATATCATGATCATTTTATTCATTAGAGGAGTTTTTTAATCAAAATAATTTGTAAATACTGATTGGATGTAAATGGGATTAACTGTATGTTATATTTTTTAATTTTAATTATGTTTATTACTTAGTATTATGTGATATTGTTTTATGATTAATGTTTAATGATTGTGACGAATGAACTTGGAGTAGTAAGAAGTAAAAGGTTGTATTTCTAACAGTGTATGAATCTATGTTGTTATGATATGGCTTGATTTAATGTTACACCATGTATCTTTTTATGTTTTGTATGAGATTGTATAAGTTTGACTAGCTCTATATCCTATGGGCACTAAAGCCACTGTACAGGATTTGTGGAGTTATTTAATAACAATAAACAATAAGCCAACTATGATGGCACCAGCATCAGGTTTTGGTTACCGAGTGGAACAGAGCTCTCAAGATTGTCAGTCAGGTTCTCAGGAACTGCCCCCTCAGGTTCCAGACTCTGTACCTGGTATGTACAGCAACATGGTCAGACCACCCTGTGACACAAATGTTACTGCGCTGACAGTCGGTTTGTGGTAGTTTGAAATGTTTCTGTGATAGGTGTTCCAGAGTCACGATTACATGGTCCTGGCCTAAGCAACATCCCATTCCTTCCTGCTGAAATTAATGTAGCTGAGCTATTTCAGAGGCTGGTGGCAGCGGGAATTGTTCCACAGGCCACAAAATCTGATGCAGATAGTAAAAAGGAGGAAGAAGCAAAGTCTATAAAGACCGTTGACTTTGGGCAGCCTGAAACATTGAAATTGTAAGTATTTACCGTTTAAACTACTTCTGTCCTCATTTTGAAAGAATTATGTTGCTGAACGACTGATATGCAGTAGACTTAAGTTGTTATAAGCATGAGGTTCAGAATTCTGCTTTCTTGATTGGTTTTGTATTATTATTAACTCTGTTGTTATTGTCTTACTTCTAGACGTCAGCCTGGTGCAGTGGCTATCCTGTTCTCTGGTATTCAGTGTAGTTCCTGCGGGATATGTTTCCCTCCGGAACAGACTATGAAGTACCGCCAACATTTAGATTGGCATTTCCGGCAAAACAGGCGTGACAAGGACAATACTCGCAAAGCTCAGAGTAGAGAGTGGTATTATGCTGCCTCAGATTGGATCCAGTTTGAAGAAACTGAAGACTTTGAGGAAGGAGGTATGATATGCAATTTGTTTCTAATGGATTTGAGGATGGGGTGAAGGTTACCAGGTCACGAAGCCAAAAAAATAGGCGTTTTTATTCAGCTTAGAGCCTCTGCATGCTCCCAATATATCTTAATGGTGTGTTGTTAATGGAAAGTGGTAACATAGCAAGCTATAAGTCCTTGATTTATGCAACATTTGCGTTAGAAAAACGTTGTAGTAGGAGTGATATAAATTGAAAACAGTTTCCTTATAAGAATAAATGAAAATGTCTGAGACATGCAAAGGTACGAGAGTACTCTTG